CATCCAGTTTTCATTTGTGTTTTAAATATTTACTTAGAGTTGGAGGAATAGTAACTGTGAGCAAACCTGCACTTCTTGCTTGGCATCTTACAAGGCTTTGGTTCTACCCCAGTCTCATGGCCTGCTTGGAAGACACTTTTCCCTGCTTGCTAGTCTATTATGGGGGCCTTTCCTGAAATGTCAGTCTTGACCACATTCTGGGAAGTCCATGCACGTTCTCTTTTCTTCCACCATCTGGTTACATTCTGCTGGTTCCTTGAATGGGATCTAAGTGGTGCTGTGCTTGAAGCCCTTAACATCCTGTTTTAATGGCCTTACCTGTGTGTACAAAAGCCAGCATTTAAAATTTTTTTCTGTATAGCATAGCAGACTTCCCCTGGTGTCCATCTCCTGTACTTACTTTTTCTCTCCTATGAGTTCTAAAAGCTCCCCAAAGTCGACAACTCTCAGAGGCTTTCATGACCCTTTCCCTGAGTAGAACCTCTTAATTACTTGCGTGGTGAGGTGTGTCTCCTCTGTATTCCTGCTTCCCTGCCTGGGGCTTTTTCTTAGGACTTGCCAGGAGCTGAAGTAGTTCCTGTGCTGTGTGTTTGGGCAGTGGGCTTCCTGCCATCCTCTGGGCAGCTGGTGAGTACTGTGGCCTTATGTGGAGCTCTTCTGAGGCAGTTCTGATTCCTGAAAGAAGCTTATTCAGAAGAGGCCCTACGGCTGCCAACTTACTCAAGTTGCAAGGCGCAGCACTACAGGGGCTCTCTGTGACCGGAGCAGGTGTAAGAGGACGTAGTGTGTGGGCACATGAGCTTCAGAATTGAGATAGAGTCACTCGAAGGGGTGGAAGTTATGAAGTGTTAGCATGGGGAAATGCTTGCCTTGCTGAAACCCTGGAGGTTGTACTCACAGATTTTTAGAGTTTTCTTCTTTTTTTTTTTAAAGGAATTCTTTTTTTTTTTTTGAATTAATTTCAAACTTTAGAAAAGTTTCAACAATAAAAGCAATACAAAGAAAGCCTGTGTACTTCACCCAGATTCACCTATGGTTGACGTTTTAACTCCATTTATTATTTTGGGTGCTGTCTCTGTTTATGTATATACACACATAATACATTTTTTCTGAACCATTTGAAAGTAAGTTTGTACATCATGGCTTTTTACCAGTAACTTTACTTAAGTGTGTGTTTCTTAAGAAAAGGGATGATCTCTTCCAAAAACACAGTACTGTTTCAACTTAAATAGTTTTAACATTGATGCAATATTCCAATTTTATCATTTGACCCAGTAATGACTTTAAAAATTTTTTTTTTAAATTGTGATAAGATATATATAACACATTTGCCATTTCAACCATTTTTATGTTTCAGTTCCAATAATGTCTTTTATAACATTTCTCTACCTCCACTACAGGCGTTGCACTAGTTGTCTTTAAGGCACTTTCACAGTCTTTTTTTGCTTTTATGATGTTGATATTTTTGAAGAATAGTTTTAATAATTGCCAACATGAAAACTGAGAGATGGTACATAAGAATCTAGATTTCTAGCTTTTTTTTTTTAAAAAAAAAAAAATCTGTCAGTGTTGGCCCACATAACAGTGGCTTGGGGCTGTATAGTCTTTGTCACCTTTGGACAGGCCATGAGTTCTCCATTTTGCCCCACTTACAGGACTTACCTGGCCCTCGTGGGTATTTGAGATTGCAACCTCCCCTGCTTACAGTCAAACAAACAAAACCTTGAATTTTATTTAACTCACTCATGCTATTTTGATCATTAAACCCTTTTTTTATGTAATACCTATTAATGTTATCCACACTTGGCAAATGTTGTATAGAATTTTTGCTGATTCATTTTGGTTCCAGTAGCTTACAACCACTCTATAATGGCTCCAAAACTTTCTCCCAACTGGAAATTTAAAATATGTTAGCCATAATCATGTGAAGTTTTTTCCCTAGGATCATAGTTATTTTTCCCCACAGTTTTGAATTGACAGTTTATCACAAACCTGTGATACAGTGGAAGGGAATTCATGTTAGCCCCAGCTTATTGGAACTTGTTCATGAAGGGCATCCTCTGACAAAAATCTACTGAGAATCGAAGTCGTTTAAAGTAGCTACTAACCCTTTGTCCCAATTTGCCTTCTAAAGTGCAAGAGAAAGGAATTCTTCTTTGGGCTCTTGGAGACAGTTAATAGCAAGCCTTGGCAGCTCTTGGCCAAAGCTCGGGTCTGTTGTCTTTAAGAGTAGCTTTAGTTCGTGTCCTCAATAGTTGTTTAGATTTGTTATGTGGCTTTCCAGGTTCTTGTCAAAAAACTTTTCCCAATAAAGGAAGATAACTGTACCCAGTTGACTTGCATTCTGACTTTTTCATGCCTGTTTACATTGCCTTGGGGCCTCCGTGGCCAAATGTAGGTCTTTTCCTCCCCAGTTCACAGTTTTGGTGAAAATTCCATTGATTCCCTTGTAACACCTATTACGGCTAGATATGGCAATTCCAGTCTCCTTTATATATGAAACATTTTTTACTCAAGGTCTCATATCTTAGA